TTCACTAAGGCAAAAGAAATGGAGAATACATAGCTTATACATAGAGATGAGCCCTCATCTTCCTTCTATGGCCTCCCTCTCAAGCGACACCTTGATACAAGGCCTCAAGATGCTCTCATTCTCTCTAACTTTATAGCTATTCTCTCCTCTTTTGTGGTAGCTTAAGATCTCTTCTCCCTTTCCTCTCCTAAGCCTCACACCCTTAAGATTTCTTCCCTTGCTCTCCTAAGTCTCACTCCCTCTGTATTTATAGAAGCAAGAGAGTGGTAGGTGGGAGGTAGGTGAGCGGTAGGTGAGCAGTAGGTGAACGGTAGGTGAGATGTGGTAGGTGAGCGGTACCACATTACAAAGTGCCCTTTTACTTTAGTTCATTAATTGGGGGTCAAAATAACAATAACTAATGTTTTTGCAAGACTAATGCAATATTATTTTTTGTGTTGGACACTTACTTGGTGCAGTTTAACAGATTTCATATATAAAGTAAACACTTTTATCGTCTAGATGTAAGTATTTGTTATTTATTAGGGGATAAAAAGTTCACTTCTTTGTCCGGGCGTTTTATTTTTATTATTTATAGTAAATTCTTAATTAATTGTAGGCTTTCAATCGTACCCTTCAAATTATATTAATATACTTGCAATACATTTTATTCTTTTTCATAGTAAATTTTATGAGTAATTAGTCTTTCTTAATACTGAATAAACTTCTGTTTAATTATTTATGTCCCGTATTTCAAGTACTTGTTATTTCTTTTATAATTTTGATGTGTTAAATCTCTAGTGAACACGTATTTATATTCATGTATTTTAATTGTGTAGAAATACTAGTGAACACGTATTTATATTAATGTATTTTAATTGTCATGCATAAAATATATTTGATATTATATTATTATTATCTCATTATTAAACCCTTGTTATGACTAGTTGAGCCAATGGGTTCTCATAGAAATCGTTGGATTTTAATGGGATTAATGTCTATTTTTCATTGTTTCTGGGCATCGTGGAAAATTGACTACATTGTAGTTATATGTATATAAATATATTGGATTTGTATATTACCAAGTAATGTTAATAAGTCGTATATGTATAAACACACCAACAACAACGACATATAAATATTTATATTAAAGTGTGTAATTTCAAGTCACTCATATTTCTGGTTATAAATATTTTATACTCTTGTTGAAAATTTTGTTAAATATTTGTTAAAATTGACTATTTGACTGGCTAGTTATGCAGTTTAAAATCAAGAACTTTAAACAGAATCAAATGAATATAGTATTAAAATACATCTTCTTAAAAACAAAATATAAATTTACTTTTATGAAAAAGAAGAAAATCCATGTCACTCATGTGATAGCCAATTAATAAGACACGAACCTCCAAAAACCTATGATCCTATTGTTAGATAAACATAT